GGAAAGTGTAAAAACAGAACTTTGATCATGTGTGACGTGTTGTTCCGTCAGAATCCACCAAATCTGAGTTTAAAGCAGCGATTAATCAAAATCACTTAAAAACGCTCCAGAAATAAAATGTTAGTTCCAACCAGAACCATCCTGCCTCCTGGTTCCAGCTGGTTCTCCGTGACCGGCTCATGAAACATTCAGTTTTCAGGTGAGCTGCAGGCAGAACTTCTTCCTCTGTTTCTTGTTTACGTTGGTTTATTGGCGTCCTGTTTAGTTTCTGTTATTAAAGCTTCGCGGTGTGATTCTTTAAACGCAGCTTCAAGCATCTAAACAGTGTGAAGCAGGTGTGTGACACCTTCATTCACTACCAACCTGCAGAAAGAAAAAACTACTTTATCTGACCGGTTATGACTCAGAAATAAATGCAGGTATTTATGTTTTAACTGTTTTATATCCTTTCTTTGTTTTGTGTCTCTTTTTGGTTGTTTTTGGACAGTTTTGTCTCTTTATATCTCATTTTTTGTGGCTTTATGTCTCAGTTTTGTTGCTTTATGTTTGATTTTCCTCTCGTTGTCTCCTCTCTGCTCTGTGGAAACACTGCCTGCAGTTCAACCTGAAAACTGATTTTTTTTCTCACCCGAGTCAGTCGTGGCTTCGTGGTTGCACTTGTAGGATTTTACAGAATCTTGTTTATGCCAGCATTTTTTTTTTTGGGTGAATTTATAAACAAAGTGTGTAATATAAAGAGATTTTTGATGATTGTTGCGGTTTTAAGCTCAGATCTGATTCATTTTCTGGTAGAAGTCGGACATCAGTTGTGCCGAGGATCAGAACTTTTTGTTTTCTGTTGGATCTGCTTCATGCAAACTGTTTATTTTGGGCAGATTTTTAAATACAGACACAGAATAAAGTGATTTTGATGAAATGAAATGATTTTAAGCTCAGATTTGGTTCATTTTATTTCACAGATGATACGTTGACAGACTGATAAACTCATGATTCTGTCAGTTTTTACCATTTCTAGCTGATAAAAGGTGCCATTGTGGCTTTTTTTTTTCACATGAACACTTTGAATGCTGCTTTTTGGGATTCAGAGGTGTAAAAGAAGACCCCAGTCATTTATCAGCGCTTTAAATTTTTCTATTTTTTGCAAACTGAGATGTAAAATAAAGAGATTTAAATGAAATATCAGGATTTTCAGCCCTGGTTTGGTTCATTTTCTTGATGGAGAAGCACGATTAGTTCAAACACTGTATGAATTGTTTTTACTGTTTCTGGCTCGTAAACGGTGTCATTTCTGTGATTTTTAAAGACAAGATTCCTTTAAAGTGGTTGATTTAGTCCCGGTTGATCTTCTCCGAGGACGGTTTTGTCACTGAGACCAGCTCATGAAGGCAAATTTATCCAGTTATTTAAATGCGTTCAACGCTAACGCTCGCTGACAGCACTAAAAACAGAATCTCCCGTCGACTCGGTGTGAATCTGTGAAGCAGCCAAACCATCAGCCTGAACACGAAGAGCAGCACATCCTGCTCTGATCAATAAACAACTGATATCTATTAACGGCTCCACACATAAACTCCTCGCAGCCTCCGGGGCTCTGATTTCTTTCACACCTGGGAGACTTTGAGCTTGTAAACAGTGTGATTAATTCGGACTCTTATTTATATCCGACCTGCGGCTCCGGGAGACGCTGACTCGCTTCGGGCAACCGTCCATCTTCTCGAGAGGAGAAGAGGAGGAAGCGGCGCTCTGTTCTCCAGCTGCTCGACTGTCTGCCCGATAAACAACGAGCGGCGCTGCAGAAAAGAACAGTTTGAAGCGGTGAGTCACTGCAGAGACGAGTCGGACGAAAAAAAGCGAGTCAATGGGGTTTAAATGCCAGCAGACACGCGGAGATGCTGCAGGGACTGATGAGCTGTAAAACAGATGAACCGCAGGATTCAGTGACATGACTTCATCTAACCTGCGTGCTCAGGTTTCTGTATTTAGGTATTTATATCCGCCAACACATGAAAACAGCCTTGACTTTACAAGGCTGCAGCTCCGGCAGCGTACAGGTGTCCCCACAGGAGGAAAAACAAGGATCTAGAAAAGAAAAACAAAAAACAGTCTATCGAAGGGACGACTTTCCATTTATCGCCTTCGCTCGCCAACGTGGGCGGTGAGAAACTGACTTAATGTGTTCGAGGGCTGAACAAATAGATCTGAAGTTGCAGAAATCTCAAGAAAGGAGGCTTGGCGGGAACGAAGCCAAGAGGTGGACGTGAAGAACCACAAAGCTCCAAACAGAAGTGGACTCAGACGCAGAAATGTTGGGATGTCGTAGTTTTTCTGCAGCACAACCCTTCGTTCAGCCACAGACAGCCAACCAACCAGAGAACGCTCACGCCCATCTCATAGAAACTCAAAGTTTTAACAACATTTGACATCAGTAAAAGTGCAGATGATTCAGGTTCAGCTGAGGATTTAGCTGAAGTTCTCGTCTGCGGAGATGAAACCAAACAGCGGTTAAACAAACCAGACCGAAAGGGTTCACAACTAATCCAAAATGAGTTTAAAAAAACATCCAAAGTTTAACTAAATGCAAAACTGAGCCAGAACCTGCAGCCAGTAGAAAGAAACTAAAGTGTAGGAAGGACACAGTGTGATTCTCAGAATAAAGACATTTAAACGACAATTATCTGCTGAGTTTCATCAACGTTTAACCCTCTGAACTCCAGCGTCGTCTGTGCAGCAGTTAGAATTCAATAAATGAGAAGAAAAACTAAAGAGGCGTCACTAACGCTGGAAAAACAGCAACTCTACGCATTTTACTTTTTGTTTTTAATCCATTTCCGTCCTGTTTTGTTGCCTGCAGTCCACCTGAAAGTCTCCACATGACTGTTGGCTACAACCGACTCACTGGTGGCTTCTCGGTCGTGGAGCTCCGAGGTGGTTGTTTTTCAGAGTCTGGTTAAATGTTTGGCAAATGTTTTGAGATAGAATAAAGTTAATTTGAAATATTGGGGTTCAGAGGGTTAAGAAGCAGACTGAAAAAACTGAAAGTCACACAAGAAAGCTGATTAATCTTCATGTTTTTCTACAAGACAGTGTGTCTACATCCAAAAATAAAAAGGTCAAACATGAGTATTTAGTCCGCAGAGGTTTGCAGAAAACAAACAAGAACCAAGACTCTGTGTTGTTTACCGTCACGGTCTGATAAAAAAAAGAAAAAACAAACTGTCTGAATCTGAGACGAAGAGCATCGACCTGACGGGAGGACGAGTTTGTGTGATGCAGCAGAGAAGCGAGGATGAAAACAAACGACCGGGAGCAAAAGTGACGGAGAGAAGGAGCGAAAGCGGCGGGAGATGAAGTTTCAGGTGATGCAGACAGAAGCAGGTGAGGAGAAGTTAGTTTCTCAGACCTCAGCAGGTGGAGGGCGATCGGCGGGGACCTACCAGGGTCTGTTGGTATCTCAGAGCCTTCCTTTGCGACTCATCTGCAGCCATTGACACGCTGTCACTGATCCAAAAATAACCTCGCTGGACACCCCAGCATTTCCACCGGCGTGGAAAACACTCTCACACACTCTCTCACACACACACACACACACTGTTCACAGCAGGTCAGACAAACAGGAAAACATCCTCTGAAGTTTCACGCAGAGAATCAGCAGGCAAAGTCCGTCCAGAGCGAAGGCTGCAGGTGGTCCAGAGATCCATCCAGGACCGAGTGACGCGGAGCAGACCGACGGACAAAGCAGAGCGAAGCCATCTGATGAGGCAGCGAAGGACGCAGCGCTTTCCTTTATTAGAACTGCAGACACCTAATAACACACACACACACACACACACACACACACACACACACAGCTCTGGCCTGGAGAGTGTGTGTGTGTCTGGATGGTGTGTTCTGTTTGGACAGGGGGGGCAGTGGTGGGAGCTGGAAGCCCCCACAGGGCTGCCCCTGCAACGTGAGCAGGAAGGTGCACACGACACCCTGCGACGCTCGCACCTCATCAGCCAATGCAGCGAGGCAATCCCCCCCGACGCTCACATGCTGCTGCTGGTCACCCCGAATGTGCCCTCACGGAGCCAAACTGCCCCAAAATGTGCCCTCTTCAAGGAAAACAGCACCCAATGTACCCTCTTTTTGACTGAAACAGCCCCAAAATGTACCATCTTCAACTGAAACAGTGTCCCAAAGTAAAAACAGGGCCCAAATCTGCCCCCCCAGAGCCAAACAGCCCCAAATGTACCATCTTTTAGAATAAAACATCCCCCAAATCTGTCCCAACAGAGTAAAACAGGCCCAGAATGTACCAAGTTCAAGTAAAACAGCCCCTAATGTGCTCTCTTTTAGAATAAATAGCCCTAAATGTGCCCTCACAGAACCAAACTGCCCCAAATCTGCCCTTCCTGGGTAAAACAGCCCCAAATGTGCCCTCTTTTACATTAAACAGCCCCAAAATGTACCATCTTCGACTAAAACAGCCCCAAATGTACCACCTTCTAGAATAAAACAACCCCTAAATCTGTCCTAACAGAGTAAAACAGGCCCAGATGTGCCCTCTTTTAGAGCAAATAGCCCCAAATGTACCTTCTACACGGTGGCGTGCAGGCAGGTGGGGCAGGTGGGGCAGGTGAGGCAGGTGAGGCAGAGCCGTATCTGTCATCATGGAGAGAAAGAAAATAACAATAAAATAATGTAAATATTCATATTTATCCAGTGATGTGTACTATAAAGTAATTTTTCATTTAGCCTCACCAATATTGATTATTTTTTATTCAAATGTGTGGAAGAGAAGCAGTGAGGCAGTGAGAGCGTGTTGCTGTCTGTACGTCGCCAATAACATGCTTCACACACGTTTAACATATGAACTGAATGTCCATAGTTGAACTGATGTCTGTGTATGTTCCAGGACTGGTGTCACAAAAGATTATTTCAAACCCAAACTATGAAGTGTTTCCATTCAGACGACCAACCAGCTCGTCCACAAAGAGATCCTGCGGTGAGAAGAGGCGTGGACCAATGGTGGCTGCTTCACCATGACAACGCGACAGTTCCTGGTTGAGAAGAACATCTCCGTGCTGGAGCAGCCTCCCTACTCACCACACCTGGCTCCGTGGGATTCTTTCCTCTTCCCCAAGCTCAAGGGGGTCATCAAGGAGACCCGTTTAGAAGACGTGGACGACATCAAGATGACTGTGACGACGGAGCTGAGGAGGATCCCGGAAGAATCCTTCCAGGAGTGCATGGCGGCGTGAAGGCAGAGAAGGCTGGAAACTGTTAGACTCCAGGGAGATTACTTGGAAGGGGAACACTGGTAGTTTGTAGTTTGGATTTGAAATATATCGTTTGTGACACCAGTCCTGGAACTTTTCTGACCCACCTCGCTTTTAAGATGTGTTTAACTCCATCTTCACTCCTGCCAGCTTTTGGACGCCTTCCTATGCTGCTTCCACGTCCACCACAGCACTGAAACGGCTCTTGTCAAAGTCATCAACGACCTCCTCTTCACCTCCGACTCCTTTACCATCCTCCTCCTCCTTCGACACCATTGACCACTCCATGCTACTCAACCGTCTCCAGTCATCCTACTACATCACTGGTGCAGCACTCTCTTGGTTTGAATCCTACCTTTACAACCGCCACCACTACGTCTCCATCAACAACTCTCACACCACCCCTGTTACCCGTGGAGTCCCTCAAGGCTCGATGCTCGGCCCTCTCCTCTTCATTTTCTACATGTTGCCTCGTCTCCAATTTCACCGCTACCCCGATGATACTCAACTCTACATTTCCACCAAAACTACCACCTCAGCCATTCTCTCCACCGTCACAAACTGACATTAAAACCCGGATGGACAAGAACTTCCTCAAATCAAACAGCAAGAAAACAGAACTCATGATCGCTGGACCAAAATCTCTTCTTCCCTCGTGACAGCAAGCTCGGTACAATCTACAATTAGCAAGTGCAGCGATCCATTTGGGTTTTTTTCCCTTAAAAAATAAAAATAAAAAAAACTATCGGACGATTTTATTCAGAAGGAGCAGCGTAAGTAAAGGTAAGACCACGATGAAGTTTTGTGGGCTACAGTTAGTACACAACCCGTAAGCTGCTGCCAATCGAACGGCAAATAAGTCAGTGCCTCACCAGCCACAAACATTGATGCACATCACTGCTTCTACGAGTATAACAGCCCCAAATGTGCCCTCTTTGAGTAAAACAGGGTCTAATGTACCCTCTTTGAGTAAGACAGGGTCTAACGTGCCCTCTTTGAGTAAAACAGGGTCTAATGTGCCCTCTTTGAGTAAAACAGCACCCTATCTGCTGCAGCGCAAACTGATCTGCATGCTGCTGAAGGTTCAGGTAACCAGGAATGAATGTGCATCAGTGAGTTGAAGGATAAACAACCAGAGAACGTTCACATGGAGTTTACAGAAACTTAAAGATTTTCTAAAAGTGTCACTGAAAAGTTTTTTTTTTAATCAGATGTGGAGGATTCAGGTTCAGATGTGGATTCAGTTAAAGCTCTTGTTCAACAACGACCGAACAAATGGACCTAAAAACTGTCCCAGATGACTTTAAACTTCTTCCACGTTCTGTCAACACGTCACGCCGGTTTGCTGACGTCCAAACTATTAAATCTGTAGAGACTCTTGGACACTGTGAGGTCAAAACCTGCCACAACAAACTCGTCCAAAGTGAGTTTGAAACCTCCCCCCCGAACGCTGACGAGTTAATCTGCGGTTCCTGCGCCGGTTCCTCCTCCGGGCCCGATGCCGCTCTGACAACCACAAAGACACACAAACACTGGCAGATCCCTTTTAGCTCCGCCCCCCGCTTTGTGGTCCACACGCTAGCGCATAGCAGGGCTAATCTCACAGCTACACCGCAGAAATGTGTTACTCTGAGCGGCGGCCTGTGAATGACTGAGGACAGCTGGCCGGGCCTCCATCTGATACACTCAGGACATTATCAGCGGGGCAGGCAGACGTCCTGATCGCGGCGAGGAGAGACCTGAGCACAGCGGAATAGTGGGGATCCAGTTATACTACACCTGAGACCGACGACAACACACACAAACACGGCAACAAGGAGGATCAAGTAAAGTGGAGCAGCCACGGTGCACATTCAGGCAGCCGGCATTCAGCCTGTGAACCCCGAAACCTGCCGAGAATGTCTGGAAACACACAAAAACAACAGGCAGGAAGGGCAAAAAGAGAAAGACTGTCACCTATCGGACGGTTCTTGATGTTTTTCTACTGAAAAAATTAACTAAATCTGAGCTTACAATTGTGACATTCATCAAAAATCCCTTTAAATTACACAAAAATAAACTGCTGGTACAAACAAGATTCTGCAAAAACCTACAAGTGCAACCACGAAGCCACGACCGACTCAGCTGTGACCGACGGTTGGTTGAGAAAAAGTTCAGTTTTCAGGTTGAACTGCAGGCAGTGTTTCCACAGAGCAGAGAGGAGACGACGAGAGGCTGAGAGGAAAATCAAACAGAAAACAACAAAACTGAGACAAAAATAACAAAAAAGGGGAAAAAACAAGACGTAACACACGCAAATGAGACACAAAACTACAAAAATGAGACACTAAATGACAAAAAAATGGCCCAAAGTGATCACAAAGAGACACAAAACAAAAGAAATAACATACAGTTGTCTCAGAATTTGTGACTGGAGTCTTCTTCTAAACCTCTAAATCCTAAAAAGCAGCTTTCAAAGGCGTGTTTGCATGAGAAGCTGCCACAATGGCACCAGAATCAAACAGAAAGAATCATGAGTTTATCAGTCTGTCAACGTATCATCTGTGAACTAAAATGAACCAAATCTGAGCTTAAAATCATTTTATTTCATCAAAATCACTTTATTCTGTGTCTGTATTTAAAAATCTGCCCAAAATAAACAGTTTGCATGAAGCAGATCCAACAGAAAACCAAAAAATTCTGATCCTCGGCACAACTGATGTCCGACTTCTACCAGAAAATGAACCAGATCTGAGCTTAAAACCACAACATTCATCAAAAATCTCTTTATATTACACACTTTGTTTAAATGAGAGGAAAATCAAACATAAATCAACAAAACTGAGACAAAAACCTCCAAAAATTAGATATAAAATGACAAAACGGAGACACAAAGAGACAAAACTGTCCAAAAAACAACAAAAACAGAGACGGGAGATAAAACTGTCTCACAGAATTAGTAAGACGAGTTAAACATCTGTAGTGTTTTTTCCAGTGTTGTTCTGTTGCTTCCAGGGTTTTAATCAATCGTTAAAAGGTTTTTTCTTTCTTACTTTCGTCAGTCTGTGTCCTACTGAGAAGTTCTCTCTCCTTCTTCATGCTTGTTCTGTTTCCGTAGAGCTGCAGGATTTTACATCGCAGTGAAAAACGAACCCACAGTGAAGAACCAACACATGCATGATAAACCCCCCACAGTGACATACATGCAGCTTTAAGAAATCAAACTTCAAACTGGTCTTGATTAAAACTCATGGTCCGTTTATTGTGCAGAACATTTGGCAGTCGTCGGTGTTGACAGAAATTAAATCCCTCCCTGCCTAGAACCTCAACAGAACCTGGCAGCAAATATCTGAACCTCTCTCTCTTTTTAATTCAGTGTGTTCATTATAATAATAAAACCAGAACAGAGGAGGAGTGAGCAGCTCCGGACCGGGACTCTCTCACACAGCATGTTTCCACCACAACACTGCTGTAAACGAGCCCGCCGTGCCGGCTCGGGGCTTTTCTAGGAGCCGTCGCCGCTCAGAGCCTCGAGGAAACACGCTTCTCTGCTGCCAAACGAACACAATATACTGTGGAAGCACGGCCACGGTCATAAATTCATCCTACAGATCATCCTCGCATGGCACCGGCTGCCGTAGGAAACTGCATATTGGCTATGGAAGACTTTCAAACGTACTGTAAGCAGCTCCAGTAAAATACGACCGGCAGGAAGAAACACTAGAGTGAGTGTAAAGGTCGGAGTTCATACTGTAGGTGAGCGACCCTACATGTAGCACCAAGTCCAGCCCACCACCACCACCACAGGAGCAGGAGAAACTCTGGATGTCCTGACTGAACATCCGCAAGACGAGATAAATGACTGAATACTTAAATAATCCTTCTGGAAGCTGCCCTCTAGCTGCTTTTCCTCGTTATAAAAGGTAAAAAACTCTCATTTAAACAGTCCAGAACCTCATACGTTTAGCTGAGTGTAACTACTGTCTGCAATCACGACGATATAAAGCTCATTCAGATAAAGCGAATAATGAAACAGAGGCGGTGAAGTGCTTTAGTCTCTACTGTGCTGCCCCCTGCAGGTCGCAGCGCCAACAACACGGAATGATCACAAACATTATGTACAAATAAAAAGGCTTAAAAATCCTTATAAAAACAATGTCATACAAAATAAAGCCACAAAAATAGATCTGTGTACAAAATACATCTTAAAAAAAAAAGAGGGACCTGTGAAACCGCGAAAGGATTAGCGTGTAAACCCTCTAACTGGCATCGACACAGACACAGCACACACGTGAGCGCTTTGTATGCTAATAAGTCGTCCGTTTGCGACGACATGTAGATTAACGTAAGCCTCCCTCTCCAGGATTTGTGTGTCTGTGGTTGGTAACGGGGGGGAATGTGTGGCAGGCAGTCGAACTGAGGAATGATCCGCGTGCGTTCATCCCAATGTGCGTTTTTGCATATCAATACTGGGGCTGGTACTTGGGGAACAGGTAGAGGTCTTTGCACAGCGAGCTGGTGAACTCGGACATCTCTTTGCAGCGATGGTGGGCGGTTCCCGGGGCGTAGCCTTCCCTCTCCTTGATGCGACCGTTCACCTGGAGACAGAGCAACAAAAACAATGGGATGAGGCCTTTGAGGAGACAAAGCCCCTTTCAGACAGGAGATATGGAACATTTCTGGCTTCATCCGTCCGTTAAAGTCATTCAGACAGAGGTCGCGTTTCTATTAAAGCTCCTCACGGCTTCGTTCAGACACACAAACCACATTTAGAGACACAACAGTCAGATCAGACAACACACCAAGCGATGTATGACACACTATCAAGATTAATCGATTTTAACAATTAAAAATTTAGCAAATGTACCAGCTGTAGTACCTGGTTGTTCCACCAGGTGGCGCCTCTTACTGTTTAATACTGTAGAGACCAGAGGAGGCGTCACGGCCGGAGCTTGAGGCGAGCAGAGGTTCGCTGAATCAACATCGCTTCAAGCCAGGAGCTAGCTGACTGTGACAATTTAGATATGTAATGTCTACAGGGCTCAAACTGTGTCATTGATTATTGATTAGTGGGCTGCTAACTATTGGTTGAGGAGATTATTAAAGACCTACATGTCTAATCTAAACAGCTGCTGATCAAAGTGTCCAAACAACTTGCAGCCCAGTTTATTTCTGAAACTGAAAGGACGAAATTGTGACGTACACGGCAGCTGTTAGATCCTGATTCATGCTGCCTCCATGTCAGGGATCGTTTAGAATCATTACTGATTAATAAAGTTACTGCCGTTACAAATGTGCACAACAATTTGTCTTTGGAGATGCTCAGGAATCCTGTTGTTGTCTGACGTTGCAGGTATTTAATAAACGCAGAGGAAATAGTCCTAAACAGCCAGAAGCAACAAACTGAACTCAGATTCACACGTCTAATGCAAAGACAGGGAGCCACACAGTGTGACGGATTCTGGTCCGGACTGATCCTCTCTCAGGGATAATTATTATCAAAATGTGCCGTCTAATGCTGCCGGTATTCAGTAAACTCAGAGAATCCTAAACAGCAGGAAGCAACAAAGTTCAGATTCAGACTCTCAGATTTCATTCATTATTTAAGCTGCTAGTGTTTTATTTTCAAGGATTTAGTAGTTTTCTGTCGATGTGAACTCGTAGAGCAAAGTGAGTTAGAACGACGTGTTGGGATTTGTTTGGATGCATTTTGGTGCTAAAATGTGGGAAAATCCTTCAAATCACCTCATAGACCTCAAACTATGTGTTAATGTTCAGACTTTAAAGTGAAATGTTTCTCGGTCCGACAACTTCAGCAGCTGGTGTTCATTTGAAACACATTCACAGAACAGGGTGCAGGTTTAACGACAAAGGGAACACGGGGTTCACCTGCACCAGGATGTCCGCCAGGTGAGTGTCTCTGGCGTGGAGGCGGAGCGCCGTGTTCAGCTCCTGGATGAACCAGGACCCTCTCTTGGTGTTCCTCATGGCTGCGGTGCCTTGAGGAGGAACAGATCAGACAACATAACGGCTGAATACATCAGGAGGATGTTAGAGCGACGCCTCCTAAAAACAATCAATAATCACATCTACCTCAGTGACATTCATTTATTTTTCAAGCACACGTCTGCACGCAATCCATCTTTAAAATAATAAACACAATCAAGCATTTGGATCCACGCTAAGATTCATTTAGCGATCGATGGCAGGAACGCTGCACTTTTAGTTTAGTTTTGGTTCTTTTACAGCAAAATCTATACTTTAGTTCTCCGCTGTGTTAAATGAATCAAACGTGTTCCTGCCTTATTCACTCCGTCTCCATCCTTCTGCTCTGCTTTAATTTATCTTTGATCAGAGTTTTTAACCCTCTGAATCCCAAACCCTGTTGAAAAGGAAAGTTTTTCTTTTTTAAAATGCCAAAATGACACCACGTATAGTAGCAATAAAACTGTAAAAAGCAGAAAGACTCATCTGATTTTAATGATCTGACAGTTCTTCAGGAAAACAAATCACCAAATCTGAGCTGAAAGTTGTACAGATTGTTTAAAGAAGTCTGTAAAAATGTAAATATTTAATATCTACAGCACGTAGAGAGAAATCGACGAGAAGGAGACAAAACTGTCCCAAAGACAGAAGAAATGACAGAAAACGACAAAAGCAAAACTCAAAAAGACACGAAACGAGAAAAACAAGACATAAAATGAGAAAAATGACACACAACAGAAAAGTGACAAAACTGTCATGAAGATGCGTAAAGCGAAGCAAAACAACAGAAAGGAGACGAAAAAAAACGTTCCAACAACAAAAACAAGAAAGAAAACAAACACAAAACACATAAAACTACTAAAATGAGACAAAGAACAAGAAAAAATAGGTATCAAGGTGAAGCAAAACAGAAACGTGATTTAAAAAATAAATGTTCCAAAGAGACACGAAACAACAAAAACAAAACACAAAAATGACCAGAGACGAAAATTGCAATGAGAAAAACGACATGTACAGAAAAGCGACAAAACTGTCATGAAGATGCATAAAACTACTAAAAAGGCAGGTAGAACAATGAACATGAGGCTATAAAGTGAAGCAAAACAATAGAAAGGAGTAAAAAAAATGTCCCAAAGAGACACGAAACAACAAAAACAAGAAAGAACACAACAGAAAAAAAGATAAACTGCCTCTCAGAGTCTGTAAAAACTTAAAAAGTGAAATATCTGCAGCATGCTGAGCCCCCAAACATCTGTGGACTCTTGGAAACATGTTGGACATGATGAGTCCAGGTTTTTACATTTTCAGAACATAAATAATGAAATAAATGTTTCCTCACTCCAGAGCTCCAGACTGTGACCACATCTGTGACCTGGTTATGAGAGCGTGTCAGTTTAAACTTCAAGCATTTGCGTGAACGATGATCATTTCGCTGTTTTGTTGTCGCTTCAACCAGCAGACAGCTACTGCGCTAGGTGATGGAAAGTATAACTTTTATTTCCTCCGTCTGTCAGTCTGTTCCTGCCTGATGCGTAAAACGAGCTACTGAGCTGATGTTCTTCAGCCAAACCAGAGCTGGAGGTCCAACTCCTGATGATCAGAATGCAGGTCCAGCAGGAGCACACTGAGCCGGTGAGCTAGCTAATGACACGGCTAACGCAGTCGCAGGGCTGCACAATTAAATTAACGATTAACTGCAGTCTATTTTAAAACAGTGTGTGTGGATGAACTCACTCGGTTTCATCTTGGACAAATCTGACTTTAGAACACTTTATTTTACTCTTTTCAAACTAATTTTTGGTCCCACGACGGTCTGAGCACCCAGCAGCATCTACAGCAGCCTGCAATGTGAGGCGTTTAGGGAACATCGGTAATTATAGCGTCTATGATATGATATATGACTTCCGCGCTTTTATTTTTTTCAAGATTTATGCATCTCTGGTTCTCTCTTCTTCTTCATGTTGTTCTGGTTCCACAGAGCTGCTGGACTTTATGTAGCAGAGAAAAACAAACACCAGAAAACTGCTCACAGTTCTGACGTTTAACACCTTTTACTCTTCACTCAATGACTAGCGCTGCACATTTCATGAACTAATCCAGCACATAAAAGCAAACGAGGATAAACTTACAAATTCTCTGACCTTTGAGAGAAGCGAAGCCACAGATCATGTCGGACCTCTGGGGCAGTTTGATCCTGGGCCTCCCCAGGTCTCCCCTCTGCCGGGAGTCGCCCTGCCCTTCCCTCCCGGCGTCCCGCTGCTCACAGCTGGGCGAGCTGGTCCTCGCCGGGCCATCGATCTGCTCCACGCCGCAGTCCATCTCATCTGGAAGAAAGGGTTTCAGTTCAGCCCCGAACGTCCAGCAGCTCTTTGATAACAAACTGTCACACACGAGAGCTGAAGCACTTTAAAAGGACTCGGTTTGTCTTGTTAGAAACTTGTGTTGGTCGTGTGTTTAATCTAAAACAACAGGTCAACACAGAAAGAGCCGTGTTTTAGTTGCTCTGTCGTTTTCCACCAGGACGTCTCTGGTTCCATCACAGATGTACTGGAACGGTGCGCTGACAGACGCTGAGTCTTACCTCCTCTGCAGGCCTGGATGAAAAACATCTTTGGTTTGTTTTGCAGCAGCGGACAGTGAGCGTTGTCGAAGGCCTCAAACACCCAGTCCAGCTGAAACGGACCGAACGATATGTCAGGAAAAAAACCCAAAAAGACGACATCACTAACATCAGCGCAGGCGACCGAGGTAGAAACCGACCTGCAGCAGCTGTCCGTCCGTCCCGTACACGGCTCCGTCCACTCCATGAGAGAGCAAACACACCACGCAGCTGTCCACCGTCCGGTGCTCCGGACGTCTGCAGAAACTCTCGATGCACGTCCTCATGCCCTTCACACAGATGGAGAAGAGCCAAAGTGGGCACATGTAGGTGAAGTCAACAGGTTCTCCTCCATAAACTGTTAAAATGATCTTCTCACAATGTGTTTAAGCAGTTAGATGTGAAATATGTTTTAATCTAGAAATAAAAATCGAGAGATGCCACCATCATAAAGTCTCTAAAGGCATCCTCTCCCCCCCCCCACACCTGGTTCAGTGCTCCATTCAGGTGTCTTACCTGAGCTGTGAGGTCTCTGTGAACAGCGACCAGGTAGTCCAGCTCTGTGAACACCTTCCTGAGCACCTCGTCGTCCACCTCGCCTCCCTTCCTGGGGTCCAGCTCAGGAGCGGCGTGAGAGTCGAAGGTCACGTTGCTGATGACCAGAGCGAAGCCGCGAGGAGACGAAGTCATTCTGTAGGACTGGAGACGAAAGAGAAAAGATGAAGTCATTCTGGTCTGAGAAAATCAAAGGAAGTGGTTCAGCGGTCTGTGGTTTCTCACGACATGCACGTACAAACGTTTCTCTAATGTTTACACCAGAGTCTTGAGGACTGTTATCCACTAATTTGAACAGAAAGACAACAAGAACGTCTAATGTTAGATTTCTGATAGATTATGTTCACTATCATCTAATACAATAAGAGCTAACCAGCCAGTATTATTATAAAAGGCCGACTAGCTGACTTTATGTCAACAGTGTTATGATGTGTTAGCGCTGGCTAACTAGCTTACATTCTTTGCTACAGTCGGCTAAACATCCCCCTGATTTATTGGTATTTTTATGTCATGCATTCACGTGGCAGCTTACAAACACTACACTGTGCTGCGTATGCGCTCGGATCCAAACAGCTTGTTTCTCCAGGAGGCTCCAGGTGAGTCATAACAGACCTGCTGAGCTCACCTGGTGAAGGAATTTACCTGCTGGCAGTGTGAGAGGTAAAAGTCAGGAGCGCAGGGGAGGACGGGAGTGGTGATGGGACTGTCGGCATCCAGGCTGAACTCCATGGAGTCTGCAGAAAACACAAACACACACACACAGACACACACACACAACATGGAGGTAAAATCACCTGTCAGCTCGCAAGTTTTCATTTATTATCAAGTTAATCATCTACAAGACGAGGCATTTATATAGAAGGAAAATTACGCTTGAGATTCGTCTGTTGTACAATAAAAGTAAAGGTTAAACTTCTTTGACTTGTGAAATGTAAGTGAGGCTGCAGGTCCTTCGAAGGATTGAACTCAGTTATATCACAACATGTCATTTCAAGGCTCTTTACACACTAAAGTTTCCAAACTAAGATGTCTCACTTTAATCTCCAGGAAGCTTTTGTTGTCTCAGGAATGTAGAGTTTAAATAGCAGCATACGGTTGAGCTTACAAAGTGTTTACAACCAGTGTTGTCATAACTAAGCTGTAACTCTGAGGTCTCTCATATTCTACACAGCACTACATTTACCAGAGTGTTTGTTTTCCTGTTTGAGGATGTGAGTTGGTGTAATATTTCCCTGACAACAATCACAGCTCGAACCTCTGCCTGCTCCAAATCAAACCGCTCACTCAGAGCGCTCAGACCGCCGAAGGCTCCAGCTGGCAGTGATGTAACGACAAACTTTGTGCGACAAAGCAGCGGGTGAGTCACCGTTTGGGCGTGGCGCCTGCAGACGGCGGCAGCCTCACAGTTCTCACTGATAAGAGTTCAAACGCTGAACAGACTGAACTCACTGAGCAGCTGCTGGATATGAAGAGTTCTCTTGTCAGCGTGTATTCGGTTAAAACCAGACGGCAGGTACACACTTTGGTCCAGATTCCACCTGGTGTCTCCGGGGAGACGAACACAGAACACAGAAACCCGGCTGAACCTGAATCAAACAGCGGCTCACCTTGAGTCCTCAGTCGCTTCGGCGAAACTTCCTCCTGAGTTGGAAGTGGAAGAGAGGAGTCCACGGACCTCTGAAATCAGAAAGACAGAAGCTGCTGAACACAGCCGGGCAGATAAAGCTGCTGTTGATGTGACATCTGTATTCCCAAATTAACTATCATCCTGTCAGCTGCTGGTTTCCTCCGCAGAGCGTCTGGATGTAAAACACGATGCATTCTGTGTGTTGCCTGTTTCTCTGCTTTCTCTGGAGCTGCTCACCTCACGGTTCTCCTCTCTGTCTACTGAGGACGTCTACAAAACACCACCAAGCTGAAGCTCAACATTCATTCTCCTCAAACTGTGAACAACTTTAACAGACATTCTGTAGGACAAAGGTTTCCTCAGGGATGGGCGTTTGTATTTTAACGATTGTTTGAGGGTCGGGAGGTTTGAGTTACTTCCACAGTAAAATATATTACACAGCGTTTAACTAAAACAATCACAATTTTCTGGATTTACTCTGAATACTTTCTCCACTGCTGCCAGCTCCGTTTATCGAGGTGAACAAACACTTAGTTTCCCTGAATAATATGATTTAATTTAGTTTTTAAAAAATGAAATAAAATAAACAAAACGTGAAAATCTGGCAGCAAGTGGGCCAGAAACAAAATTGTGAAATAGCAGTGGAAAAACTTTTTAATTTAACAAGTTTTACCACAAAAAGTAAAATATTACGAGACCTCCAGGTAGAACAGAGTGATAAATGTTTTAATATGGGCATGTTTTTCCAAACTGTATCTTTAATAGATGCTGAGATATTGTCAAAATGGGGCAATTTGTACAAAAAAGTATTTTCTACATGTGGCACAAAGCTCACAGAAACCATTTTAAATATCCAGATGATGATAAAAAGCTGTTTTTAACACAGTATATTTAAATCTAGTGTGAGTGAAATGTGCTTAAAACCCATAAGCAGAACCTAAGTTAATATTTCTTGATGATTTCTTTGGAATTTTGGATCCCAACTTTGCTTCTCCTGACATTAGTTTTTATTCTGTGTTAGCGTTTATGTGAGACATAAACAGGGTCACTGTGTGTCAACTTAGCCAAGGTGAGAATCTGTTTAAACTCTGTAGGAATGATCTTTGGCATCTGAATATGACATCTGCCCACTTTTTAGCTGAAATTCCAACATTTTCTCAACTTTCCACTCAATGGAAATTTTCACTAAATCTCTCGTAGGTTGGAAACTGAGCCAGATGCCACTTTGAGACGTCCACATCTCTTGACGTATACGTCCTGGAGTCTTCACTTGTTCACGAGATGTTCACCAGACATTTCTGGTGAACGGAGAGAATGCAGCGAATTCTGGAAATCGAGACTCAATTTCTTGCTTAAGACCTCTCAAATTCTGGATTTGTTTGAAAATCGCAAATAAAATGAGTAGAAATGAGAGTTATGGCCAATTAAAGTTGGACATCTTGAATCATGGGCAGACTGATGAAGTTTGGGAGGTGTGCCAAGTTTCAATGCTGCAAAGTTTGAAGAGATCCTGAGATGGTCCAGCAACACAGAATGACCCGACAGTGAAGATCCTGTCAGGGATCAGAGGAACCATCAGCTCACCTCCCTCTTCTTCTCTGGTCTCTCCATGACCAGCCGCCCTGACTTTCCCTCTGGTTCCTCCTCAGGCTCAATATTCTGTGAGAAACAGTCCAACACCTGCAGTCAGTCTAAAAAGTCTCCCCAAGACTAGACTCCTACACGACCAAACCGCTTCTCTGTGATGTTTTGAGGGAAACATATTTTTATGCTGTTTGTTTGTATCATCTCACAGACTCTTTGTTTTTCTATCAGGGACTGCATTTGATTTTCTGAGCGAAAACAGTTTCCTTATCTAATACAGTTCCTATTATCTAATGCAGGTTCTTTACTGTGTATTTTACAGCTTCACTGTTGCTCCATGTTAACCCAGAAAATGGAGGAGATGCTTCAAACGTGCAGTGAAAGGTTTGTACCCAACCCTAAACCGGGAACCAAGTAATTCTGGTGGCGAACCTTCATCAAGCATCTAACGTGTAAAAGCGTCTAACAAAGCTTGACATTTTCCTAATTTGTTTATTTCTGAGATGTGAACTCTGCTCTTCTGGATGAGAGTCTGGTCAAACTGGGCACTTTTCCACAGGTCACAAATTAGATTTACTTCAAAACAAAATTACGTTGCCCTCAAAACATATCTGGGAATGCAGCGTACGTGTACAGGAATGTGTTTTTGTGCAGACAGGTTTGGTATCCTGTAGCTCTGTGTGGTCAGTTTATTAACTCACATCGACCTGCGTCTCTCTCTCGGGCGACTGGGTCAGAAGGTCGCACAGATGCTGCTGTTGGGTTTCTCTGAGGGCCGAGCAGAAGCTGCTGAAGGCTCGAGGTCCTCGCTTCGGCAAAAGCAGCAGCAGACGCCAGCTGCGTTTCTGAGACGTCTGATCCGCCTACAGGAGAAGAGATCGAGTCAGAAAACTGAAGAGCAAGGAGAACGGTTTAGTCCCATCACATGCCCAACATGAGGGATGAACAATGAGCTGATATCAAATCAAAAACTAAGAAGTTCGCATTAAATGTGCTGCAAATCAAATTAAATCACGATATCGGTCAGATAATTTGCCAACAGAGGTCACAAGGCGGTTGGACTCTCAGCTGGGTAAACCAGGTGTAACCGCCGGGCCGAACGGTGACCAGAACCGCTCCCACCTCGCCGACAGCTCAGAGAGCGCGGGTCAACGTACCAGGATCTCCTCCGCCATGCTCTCCGTCAGGATGTCGTCGGCCAGCAGCGACTGAATGAGCAGCTCGTCCACCACCAGCTGTTTGCAGAGAACCGCCGAACGCCTCCGCAGGGCCTGTCGGTCCCGGTCCAACATGCCGCACTCCAGCATGTTCCGTCTGCAGGACAACAGCACACGGGAATAGCAGAGACGAGCAGACCTGGACTCAAATGTTTCTCATAAAGTCTGCCGGCAGCAGACGTGGTTTTACATCACTGTCCTCTGATACATAAATACCAACAAAAGCCGTGATAATTAATACCTAATGGTACTAAAGGGGGAAACAGTAGACGGGTACGTCAACAATGAAAGGACAAGCAGAGAAGAACACTATAAAAACACTTTTACATTTAGAAAACGCTCAGAGAAGAGAATTTAAAGTAATATTACTGTAATATGTTTATACAGACGGCTTCTTCTAACATGGATTCATTTTATTCTTATAACACACATTTTTGCTGTTGCTCTGACTTTTTTTTTTTTACTTTGAGAAACACACAATAACCAATATACGTGTGCTCTAAGTGTGCAAATGGAAATAACTTGTAAATTTTTGTCTGTCACGTCTACAGGCATCAGATTTAGCATGTATTTAGCATGCATTCATAGTGTTGGGAGACTTTATGTATGAAAACTTTTTCTCCCAGACCATTTAAATGAGACACAAACACAATAAAATCCATGATATTAACTTTGATAACACTAAAAGATATTATATGTTATTTTAAAATGTTGGAATCATAACTCACAATTACAGAAATAGGTTTAATTAAGATGTGTAGTCAAGTTACTGCTGTTTAAAGAGCACCAATGTTATGGTTAAGATCATACAATATTACACAAAATATAAAGCTAAATTTACTTAACAAGCTTGAATATTAAAGTTAAGACTCTACAGTGTAAATAATCACACACACTTACCTGACTAACCTAATTAAGTATGTAAATTTACCAAAAATAATTTAAGTATTGCAGTTAACACTTTGCAATATTGTAAAAAAACACAAGTTTGAATTCATCGAATAAATTTAAACAATAACGGTTCAACTTTACACGAAAGGGAGGGAATAAAAGTAGAAGTGAACTAGAAGTTAACATTAAAAACACAAAGTACATCCTCACAAGAAAGGAAGACGAGAGACTTTTAAAACTATACTGACATCTACAAAGCACTGCTTCTCAGGGAAACACTGAGATTATTATTTGTTTTTTATTTAGCGTGTTGCATCGCAGGGATTTTAATGGGTGAGCTGTTTCTCCTGCACTATATTGATTAGATTAGATCAGATAGAACTGTATTGATCCCTTTGGTGGGGTACCTCGGGGAAATTGTGGTTCTAAAAGTAGAACAACACCGACAGACGGAGACAATAGTAACACGTCAATTAAAAAACAGGAAACTACTAGGAAGAACAGCACTGTGTGATAATAAAAATAATAATATTATTCTGTATAATATATGATAACAATTAGTGTAATTATAGGTAAATATATGTGAATATATAAAATACAAATGTGTATCAAATCTATATTTCAAAGATAAAATACATATGTACACATCACACAACAACACAACACAGTGACAATATGAATATACAGTCTAATGTGTTCATATCCTCCCATTAAAGAAGGAAAAAACTGCTTCAGTCACTGAAATAAGTTGAAATTGACAAAAGTAAGAATAAATAAAAATTTTATGAAAATCATGACATTGCTCAAAAGCAACGTCTTATTTCACTAAATTATAATTTAGCATTTTAAAAAAAAATGTATTATTACTTTTATCAGTTTCTAGTTATTTGACTGACTGTTGTGAGTTTTGCCTTTTCTTTAATAGAAGGGTCTGAATACAAAGGGTTGCTCACCCAAATTACTATATAATGTCATAAATAATAATCTAGAGGACAAAACAGTCCAGCTGTAAGATAAAACGGACAAACTGAGCTCTTACTTATAAATCAGACTATTTCCACACAGAATCTATATTTTTTTTTACTCTGACATGAACGGAAAATGGTGAACTTGTCAGGTTAAAATATAAACGCTGCTGGACCTGACTGGACCTTCCGTGTGATCAGAACCCGAACTTCTGCACATGAAGTGTTTTTATGTTTTAGCTGCTTGCTGTTGTGTAGCTGTTGGCTTTAAAATGACATTAACATAGTGGCGATAAAAGTACCTGTCAGAGGCAGGAAAAGTCACCGAGCACAGCGAGCCAAACAGTGCAGGTGTAAATCACACACAGCTACCGATAAGAATACAAAAACAGGAATAAATCGATAACGATATCTAGAAATCAGCACTTCAAGTCGCTGCCAGCAGAGTTTTATTGACGCTAAACTCACCGACGGTGGCTAATTAGCGATGCTAGCTAGCTAACAGGCTAACTTTGACTTTTTCTCGCGTTGGAGCGGGTTTAGTTTAAATCTCCCCCAAACCGCGTTCTTACCGTTTTTCTGCTCCTGCAACAGAGTGTCGAACCGCGAAGACAAACACCCGCAAAATCGTCACCGTGTCTGTCACAGCTTCACGCAAATTAGCGACATCCTCGGCTCCGCAAAACAACTTCCGCGGGTCTCACAGCTGCAACGGAGGGGGGCGGGGCCACACGGTCACAAGTAGGAATTGTGACCAATGAGAGCGTCGCAAAAGATGAGTGGCGTTTCTAGTAGCCAATCAGCGGGCATCATAGAGCCGTCGCCCCCTGTGGTAAAGTCTTGTACAGTAGTGATATGTGAGGATTTGAATTTGAATCTGTTTCTGTAAATCAGCAGCCAATTGATAAGAAGCTCAGTGAAGAAACAAACATCCCTTTGATACAGAGATAGGCTTTTAAAAGAACAGGAAGGACTGATTCTATAAACAGTTGTATTTAAAATGTTGGAATCACAACTCACAATTATGGAAAAGGGTTTAATTAAGACGTGTAGTCAAGTTACTGCTGGTTAAAGAGCACATT